TATTAATCTCAAACACTGAAAGAACACCTTTTCTGACCTCCTACCAATTGGGTTGGTTTTACTGACACCCTTTTTACAAAATGTAACCGTGTGTGTGAGTGAATTTATTTATTTATTTTTAGCTCCCATCAATAAGTGAGAACATGTGGTATTTCTCTTTCTGTGCCTGACTCGTTTCACTTAATATAATTCTCTCAAGGTCCATCCATGTTGTTGCAAATGGCAGTATTTCATTCGTTTTTATAGCTGAGTAGTATTCCATTGTGTAGATATAATCAGTACATCAATTAATGGACATTTCAGTTGTTTCCATATCTTGGCTGTTGTGAATACTACTGGCTTCATCAATTCACAATATGCATGAGACAGCAGATATCTCCTTGAGATCCTGATTTCAGTTCTTTTAGATAAATACTCAGAAGTGGGATTGTTGGATCATATGGTAGTTCTATTTTAACTTTGGGGAAACCTCCTACTGTTTTCCATAACCACTATACCACTTTACATTGCTACCAATGACTAATTTTTATAATCAGTGAATTTCTTATAAACAATCAGAATATTGTATGTCAGAAAAGAAAAATTTACCTAACAAATACCTTACATATAGATTTTTCTACTTAAATTTTCTGCCTACTTAATGGCCACCATAATTTTGACATTGACTTTAGTGTAAATAACATTACTGTTACTATAGATTTGTCAATTTTCTCCCATACTTTTTTTGAGGTATCATGGAGAAATAAATTAATTTTTTATTATGACTGAGTAAAACTCCTTTGAGCTGCAGAAGAGTCATCAAATGTTAAAATTTTGTAAATATTATGATTTATAATCTGTCTTGTTCCAGGAAGATTTTAAGGTTTATTCAAAACGTGCATTGGATAGAATAAGATAAATTAATAGGTTAACATTTCTCTATTAATGAGCATTTTTCCAAAGTGCAGTTCAAGAAGTTGGATGGGGACGTAACATTATAATTCTCCCTTTCCCCCACCCACTCCCTGGCTCTTATTATTCCCCTGTCTTGTTTTATTTTTCCCTAAAGTATTTATTACCATCTCTATCCCGTGATATATTTTCTTTCATTCTTTCCATGTAGTCTGTCTCTCCCTGCTCCCCTATCATGTAGGCTCCATGAGGTCAGGGATTTTAATTTGTTTTATTTACTGCTGTATTTCCAGTGCACGAAACAGGGCCTATCACAGACTAGATTCCTGGTAAATATTTGTTGAATAAATGACTGTCGGTCTGGCTCCATCTAGCAATAACTTTTTAGAATATCTAGATAAATGTATGAACTGAGTTTCTTCAGCTAATCTTGAATATTAGTTTTTTAGTCTTTCTCTCACCAGCTATTGAACAGCATTAAGTATGGGATGATATCCCCTGATAAGAATCTGTAGTAGATTTCTGTGTTTTGAATTTAAGACAGAGCCATATGCCTTAACACTTAGTTAGACTAGGGGTCATTTTGCTATTCTCTAGTGGGAAAAATTGAAGAGCATAACAGTGAGATATTATAACTTTCTCTTGAAGGTAAGCCAGAATCTTCTCAGGAAATAATACTGCATAAGCAGTTGAATTGAGGCTCCAAAACATAACCTTTATTATCCTGGAAATTCTTAAAGCAAACACAGCCACATGATAGCTCATTTTAGTCATTGAAAATTTTATAAGTGTACCCGTAGAACATCTGACTTTAAATAGTGTAACTTATCTGTGTAGTCTCCATGAAAAACTCATTGCAAAAGATATGATTGGGTAAAAATGAGTAGCTTACCATATGTTGAAAGTTGAAGAATGACATAATTGAATTCTAAGAAAATTATCAATTATTATGACTCAGTTGAGAGTACTGCATTTTATTACCATAAATTAAGGAAGCCTTTGTAGTGAAAACATTAAAATATGTCAATGCAATTTTGCTATGCATGCTAATATTTATTTTAATACATTTTTTTAGGAAAAACTACTGTGAAATGATTAAAAGCCTTGGCTCTGAAGTTAAGTGGTCTGGGTTCATGTCCCAGTTCTGTCACTTGCTAGCTGATTACTTTGGCCAGGTACCTTTAGCCTTGGTCTCCTCAACTAAATATTGGAGTAGTAATAGTAGCCTACTTCATAAGGATGTTTTGAAGATCAGATGAAAGAATGTACAGTGATTGACTCATAGTAATTACTCCAAGAGTTAGCTGTCAGTATTGTTAATATGAACATTTACTTATTTACCTTGTTTAGCATTGTATTTCCATTGAAGAACAGATTCAGTCGGTTTTGGGAAATACTGCATACAAGCATATCATTGGACTGCAATCATCATCTGCTTCAGGAGCCTTAGACAAGTCATCCTCCACATCTTTTCCTTTTAGAACTGGATTGACATCTGGAAACATGACTGAAAACTTAAAAGCTTACATTGATAAATGTCCACAGCCACCTGGTGGAGGAAATACTGCAAACCTTGATGAGTGTAAAATTGTGCCACAAAACCACTCCCTTCTTGAAAATGATCTTAAAAATGTAGTATCTTCTTTCTTACCAAAGAAAGCCAGTGACAACTCAAATATACCTAACTCTGAGTTGCTGCCTTTTCTCCAGAATTTATGTAGTCAGGTTAACCATCTCCATGTGGGGCATAATGCTGAGTGGCAGAGAAACATCACCAAGCCCAGCGAAGCCATTCTTGGTTTAGGGTAAGTATTATTTCAAGACAAACATAGTTTAGATTTTGGTAGAGAGGAGAATCAGATGAAGGGAAACAGATTTGTTTCAATGAGTACTGCCTGAAAATCTGCTTCCAGAGAAAATTTTAGCAGCTTTTACATTTTGCCATTAATAGACTTATAGGGAATAACTGTTCTATAGAGTAGAATGGGTTGCTTTGAAGGAAGTGCCTGTAACTGGAGGTGTTGCACACTTCTCAAGCATTTTGTGGAAGGGGGTACAGACATCAGAGAAGGGTTAGAATAGAAAGTTATTTGCTTGAATAGAGTGATAATCATAATCTTTACACTGTTTATTTGTTTGTACTTTTTTTGGATGGGTGTGTTGTGCATGTCACTGTAACAAAGTTTCTGTATTAATCTATAATAAATCTATAATATATTGGTCTAGTCTAACTTTAGAATAATCAAAAACTATATTAGGATAGTTATTTGTGGTATACAGGCTTTTACCCCTTGATCCTAATCTCTTATTTTGGCAGCACATGTTTGATTAAGAGATGGCTAAGTACTTAGTGTGTTCCTAATCCTTTACATAGATATGGTGTGTCAAAATAGTGGTCTAGACTAGAATTCAGGACTCTGGTCATGGTTTTGGTTTAACTATTTTCCCACACTGTTTAATCTCCCATAGCTTAGAGTTTTCATGTGAAAATGAGGTAATTGGATCAGTTTGGAACTAAACACCACCAACAACCAACAGGATCGAATTGACATTTATAGAAGACTGTACTAACCATAGCAGAATATACATTTTTTTCAAGTTTTCATGGAAGATTCACAAAAATAGGTTATATTTAGACTAAACCTAACCAAACTTAAAAGGGTTGACATCAGACAAAGTATATTCTCTTACTGTAAATGAATTCAACTTGAAATCAATAACAGGAAGACAACAAGAAAATTTCCAAATAATTGGAAATTAAATTTAAATCTATGATTCAAGAAGAAATATTAACAGAAATATTTTTAAAATACATAGAAGTGAATAAAAATACAACAGATCAAAATTTGTAGGATGCAGCTAAAGAAGTGTTGATAAGGATATTTATAGCACTAAATGCTTACATTAGGAAACAGGAGAGTTTCTAAATCAATAGCAGAAAACTATGACAACTCAACCAAATGAAATAGATAATGTGAACAGTCCTATAACCACAAGAAAAATTGATTTTGTAATTTAAAAGCCAAGCAAAACAAACCCAAAGCAAGCAGGAAGAAGGAAATGGTAAAGAACAGAAATCAGTGTAATTGAAAACAGAAAAACAATAAAGAAAATCAATGAAGCACAAAGCTGGTTCTTTGAAAATTTTGATAAAATTGATAAACTTCTAGCAAGACTGGCAAAGATAAGAAGAGAGAAGACAGAAATCACCAATATCAGGAATATAATAGGGGATGCCACTACAGATCCTAAGGCCATTAAAAAGATAATAAGGGAATATTACAGACAACTTTATGCTCACTTCTTCTAAGCTTAACAACTTAGAATGGATTAATTCCTCAAAAACCACAAATTACTAAATTTAGCCAATATGAAATAGTCCAGTAACCACTAAAAATACTGGATTTGTGATTGGAAAGCTCATGAAAAAGAAATATCCAGCCCCAGATGGTTCCACTGGAAGATTCTACCAGACAATTAAAGAGCACAAATTTTACATACTTCTAAAAATAGAAGAGGAGGGAAGAATTCCCAACTCATTTTTGAAGCCAGTATAGCCCTGATACCAAAGCTACATGACCCCAAAGAAATTGAAATACATGTAAGTGTATATAAAATATACAAATCCATACAAATAATTATAAGGTTTGTAAAAATACATATTAATGTAACAAAACATGTACAAGATCTGTGGACTGAAAATTATAAAATACTGATCAAAGAAATCAAAGACTTAAGAAAATGGAGAGACATACCATGCTCATGGATTTGAACACTCAGTATAGCAAAAAATATCTCCCCAGGGCCGGCCCCCTGGCTCACTCGGGAGAATGCAGCGCTGGTAGCGCCGAGGCCGCAGGTTCAGATCCTATATGGGGATGACCGGTGCGCTCACTGGCTGAGCGCAATGCAGACAGCGCCAAGCCAAGGGTTACAATCCCCTTATCGGTCAGAAAAATAAAAAATAAAAAAACCTCCCCAAATTGATAAGTTTAATGCAATTCCTATCAAAAGTTCAGCAAGATTTTTTGCAAATATAGATGATATGATTCTAAAATTTGGAAATGGAAAATTCTAAAATAAATGGAAGAATAAAGAGACTAGAAAAAACAATTCTGAAAAATGAAGAAGTGAGAGAAATCACTAATTGATTTTAAGATATATAGCTACAGTATTAAAGACTGTGGTATTATTGGCAGAGGGATAGACACAGATCCATAGAATACAGAGCACAGAAATAGCCCTACAAAACTACACCAACTGATTTTTGACAAAGGTGCAAAAGTAATTCAGTGAAGGAAGGATATAGTCTTTTTAACATGTGGTGCTGGAGCAACTGGATATCAACAGGCAAAAAATGAACTATGACTTGAACCTCTACCTTATGCAAAAATGAACACAAAATGGATCATAAACTAAAATGTAAAATATAAAACTGTAAGTCCTTTCTAATAATATATAGGAGAAACACTTAGGGACCTATGACTGGGAAAAGAATTCTTAGATATCACACCAAAAGCATGATTCATAAAATAAAACCAATATATTAGACTCCATCTAAATTTAAAACTTTTGTCTGTGAAAGACTCTTTTATTTTAAGAGGATTAAAGTACAACTGGAAGAAAATATTTGCAAATCATAAATCCAACAAATGACATATCTAAAATATATAAAGAACTTTCAAAAGTCAACATTGAAAAAAATACAATTCATTTAGAACACAGGCAAAAAAGACAGCCATTCCACTGGAGAGGACATACAAATAGCAAATAGGCAAATGAAAAGATGATCAACATTGACCTTATTGCTATTAGGGAAGTGCATATTAAAACCATAAGAAATCACTATACACCTATTTGAATGATAAAAATTAAAAATGATAACAATACCAAATGCTGATGAGCAGTAAAAAACAGTGTCTTGGATAGCTCTCAAGGGCATTATGCTGAGTGACAAAAGAGAATCTTAGGAGGTCACATACTATAAGATTTCATTTATGATATTCTTGAAATAACAAAAATATAGGGACAACATATTAGTGGTTGTCAGGTGTTAGGGAAGGCGGGGATTTGAGAAGTAGGTGTGACAATAAAGGGTAGCAGGAAGGACATCTTTGTAGTTACAGAACAGTTCTGCATCTTGATTGCACTGGTGTTGACATGAGTATATGCAAGTGGTAAAATGGCAATGGCATAGAACTGTATATACACATTGTACTAATGTCAATTTCCTGGTTTTGAGATTATATCAATTAGGTAAGATATAACCATTGGGAAGATTGGGTGAAGGGTACTGAGAAACTCTAGTATTTTTGCAATTTCCTGTGAATCTGTAATTATTTCAAAGTAAAGAGTTTTGGGGCCGGCCCGTGGCTCACTCAGTAGAGTGCGGTGCTGATAACACTAAGGCCACGGGTTCGGATCCCATATAGGGATGGCCGGTTAGCTCACTGGGTGAGCGTAGTGCTGACAACACCAAGTCAAGGGTTAAGATCCCCTTACCGGTCATCTTTAATAAAAAAAAAAAAAAAAAAAAAAAAAGAAAAGAGTTTTTTAAAAAGCCTTCCTTGGTATATTCTAGAGTAGTAGTTCTCAACTTTTGCTCTTTACACTCTTAAAAATAATTGAGTACTACAGAAACTTTATTTATGTGGGCTATGTTTATTTTATTGTTTTAAAATGACAACAATAAGGTCATATATTAAAATAAATAACAGTCTTTATGAAAAACAAACCAATTTTCTATTAAAAAGTTGAGTGAGAATGGTATTGTTTTAAATTTACGCAAATCTATATTAGCTTTTGGCTGCATTCTTATATATGCTGCATTGTAGTATGTATGATCAAGAAATAGTAACAGCACAGTAAGAATACTGAGAACAAACTGAGTTAACCTCTGAAAAAGCATATATTTATACACTAAACCTACTTCCTTAGGAAATTCTAGGTAAGAGAAGAATATACAACTACAAATTCTATTAGTCGTCACAGCAATGACATTATACATTTTGTAGTCTCTGGAAAATCCTACTGTATAATTATGAGAGTATGAAGATGAAAAAGTCAAATAACATCTTAGTATTGGTATAAAAATATTTTTGACCTCATTGAATCCCTGAAAGAGCCATGGAGACCCCCAGGGTTTTGTGGACCACACTCAGATTCACTGTTTGTGTTCATTCTGAACTTTAGAAACTGGTATGCTTTTTATTTACTTTTTTATTTTAATTTGCTCATTCTAGTTAAATTGTTAAGCATTTTCTTATCAGGTTAGAAAAGAACAGTTCAGTACTTTAATAAAATTGTAAGAAAGAAGAAAAGACTGTTTAAATTGTAGGGTTGATTGAGGAAGTACTTGGAAAATATACATGTTGACTTTTTAAAAAATTGGGCAAGATCAGTTTGATTTTTCCTTTGATCATCCCTAATCTGAAAGAAAGATCAGTTTTGATTTGGAGTTTAAAATAAAAAAGACCCATTCTAAAGGCTTGTTTTTTTAAGGGTTCATCTTCACTTTTATGTTCCCATTTTACTTGTATACTTAATTGAAAGAATTAAAGAAAAAGAATGCGTTGGGCATTTAGGATGATGGTCACCTGTTGTGTATGGATATTAGAACCTGGAAATGTTTTGTAAGGAGACAATACTGTTGAGACAGATTCAGCAATGTATTTTTGCTGCTTGTTGTATAGCCTGATTGTTTTTGATATTGGGGAAATTGATATTTTTTATAATTTATTTTTAGAATGGAAGAGCAGCCTGTTTGTTCATACTTGGAAAAGATTCTTTCTAAAAGTATGGAACTGATGGAAAAGAAACTTACGGACTACATTGATCAGCGAATGTATAAACTCCAGGAGCACATAGACGATAAGATTGCTTTGTTAATGGACTTGCTGCAAAATCCCAGCTCCCCTCCCGCTGGGATGCCTCTAAGACATTATGACTCTGGAGAAAGACTTTCAAATGGCGAAAGATAAGCTGTCAACATATACAGTGTACTGCAGATATTTATTACATATTTATTACAAAGCCAGAACCCAAAAAGTTAGGAAAAGTATTTCATGTCCTTTGAAGGATTATTATTTTACTTATATAAAGTGACCTCAGTGTTCATTTTTCTTATACTTGTTATTTTAAATCCATACTATACACTATTGGTTAACATGTTACGGTCATAAATTATTTTTGTTTGCAATATTTTTCATTCTTACCAGAAATTTATGTATTCTCGTGTTGCTTGAGTGTTTAAAATGTTTAAGGATTTCTAAAGCAGTTCAATAGCTTGTATATGTGTTTGATTGAAGTGAATTTTTTATTTATACAAAGACCTTACAGTCTTTGTATGAAAAAATAATGCATAGAGTATTTGATATTTTTTTCTTTTTCTGCTTTTTCTTGGAAAATTAGATACTTAAGACTTGGAGTCTTTAATTTAGATCATTAATTCACATTTTGCATTGTTTATCTGTGATAATAAGATGCAGTGTTTGGCATGTGTAAAATTAGTTCACACTGGGGCCATTAATAGTATTTGTTTCATTACAGTGTAGCTGTAGATAGGAAAGTAAAAAATCAGAACTGGCCCATTCCTTGTTACAATTACTACTTTGGATTTGGTGTTTCATGTAATACAGGAGCAGTAGTCTTGACTGATCTGCATAACCCCAAACAGGAAGTCTCTCTTTTTTGAGCCTAATACAGGTTTTTCTCCCCAGAGTCCTTTTCTGGTGTGTTTAAAGTGTGAAATGCTGAGGATTAAGGAATATGAATCAAGGAGATTGCAGTTCTCTTTGGCTGACTTAATTTTCAGAACTTATAACCATTGTATATGTGTTGAAGAGTGATATATTTGCATCTAAAAAATAAATGCATTCACTCTGGAAGCTACTTGTCTCAAGTGAATAGAACTTTTATTTTCAACTAATCTTTGCTTAAAATGTTTTATTTTTTAGAAAAGGGATATTTCATATTTATTTACTGTTTTGGCAAATTTGTTCTTTAAAATGAGGGCCAATTTATATACTGTTTGTTCATTTTTATCATACTACAAAGGTGACACAGTATATGGAACATACTCTGACCACAATCACTTGACAATTTAAATGTCACTTTTGCTAGTTCTTTATGGGTCATTATTTATGGAACAGTCATAACATATACAGCTATAAGATAGCATTTCCTGGGCCGGCCCGTGGCTCACTTGGGAGAGTGCGGTGCTGATAACACCAAGGCCACGGGTTCGGATCCTATATAGGGATGGCCGGTTCGCTCACTGGCTGAGCATGGTGCTGACAACACCAAGCCAAGGGTTGAGATCCCCTTACCGGTCATCTTTTTAAAAAAAAAAAAAAAAGATAGTATTTCCTGTGCTATTGAGGAGGAATCTGTCTCACTTAAGACTGAACCTGTTGGGGCCGGCCCGGTGGCGCACTGCTACAGTGCGCCGCTTGGGAGCGCAGCGGCGCTCCCGCCGAGGGTTCGGATCCCACATACAGACCGGCCGCTCACTGGCTGAGCGAGGTGCGGGCGCAACACCGAGGGTTGTGATCCCGTTGCCGGTCCCGGTCCGGTATGGGCGCGACACTGAGGGTTGCGATCCGTTGCCGGTCACGAAAAAAGACAAAAAGGAAAAAAAAAAGACTGAACCTGTTAGTTAATAGTCCTGTAGCTTCTGGTAGTTGTGATCTGTTCATTGATTCACAGAATGCCTCACTATAGTGTAGCCATAATCACTGCATTCAGATCAAGGACCGCGAATGAAGATAGATGCAGACGGTTGAAAGGCTGATTCTGAGTTCCTTCTGCATGTGTTTGATGATGAAATATTGTAATTGGGAAGCAAGATCACAACCATTTTAAAAAGTAGATTTTGGCAATATGAAAATTAATAAATTTATGATTTCCCTACATATTTAATGGATTTTATGCATTTGTTAATATTTAGAACAATGCCAGCTCAACATAGAGAAACTGTTATTTGAATTAGCTTAGTGTTTATGTTAAAAATCAGACAAAATATCCCTGAAAGCATTTCTATTTCAAATGGCTGATTCAGTTTAGTTCCCCAGTATGAACAGAAAACCTGTAAAATACTATAGCACTATAGTCAAGGAGTAGTTCAGGGTTATTTATTAACAGTCAGTATTTTCCATAGTTGTCAAAATATATTTCATCAGCAGGGAAATAATTGGTTTCCTCCTATGAAATCAGAAAAAGATAATTTTCTACTACATATGATATTTCTGTAATGACTTTCATTCACAAATTTTCAACTATTTTAAAACATAGATGCGTCCTGCAAGCCTTTGTCGTAAATGTGTTTATGAAAGTTACCGTAGTTAATTTGGGTTTTTTTTTTTAAGGCTTTTTTTTTTTTTAAGAGCAGTTTTAGATTCACAGTAAAATTGAGAGGAAGGTTACAGGGATTTCCCATATATCCCTTACCCTCGCACATGCATAACCTCCCCCACTATCAACACTCCCCACCAGAGAGGTATATTTGTTACAATTGATGAACCTACATTGACATCATTATTACCCAAAGTTTGTAGTTTACATTAGGGTTCACTCTTAGTGTTGTACAGTCTATGGATTTGGACAAATGTGTAACGACTTGTATCCACCATTACAGTGTAATACAGAATAGTGTCACTGCCCTACATATCGCCTGTGCTCCACTTATTCATCCCTATTCGCTCTGCAACCCCTGGAAACTGCTGATCTTTTTATTGTGTCAATAGTTTTGCCTTTTCCAGAATGTTATGTAATTGGAACCATATAGCATGTAGTCTTTTCAGATTGGTTTTTTTCACTTAGCAATGTGTATTTAAGTTTTCTCTATGTCTTTTCAGGGCTTGATAGCTCATTTCTTTTTGTTTTCTTTTGTCTAGAGAGACAAAGCCTTTAGTTCAAACTAATGTGAGCTGAGACCTTAGTTTTGTTCTCTTTGCAAGATAGCCAAGTTCCCTTAAGCCTAAATTTCTGAGTCTACATGAATTAATTAGAAAATCAATACCAATGTATTAGAACTAAAATACCTTTCCTTACATATTATTAATATGTCAGTATGGTGATGTAGTTAAAACCCATCAGCCTTTAGAAAAAGATGAAACTTATGTTTTAAAGCAAGTACTCCCTCCCCCCTCCCCCATTTTGCCTTTTTAAAAAGAATACCGTACATGTTTTACTGGTGATGGATTGATGACATTCTGTTTACTTTCAAAATATGGCAGAAATGATTTAATCATCCAGGTTTCTGTTGAAAACAGTGAAAAAAGATATAAAACAGAAACACAAATGACAAAATTAATTTGTTTCTAGCAGCAAATGTTTTTTACGTATACTTTAAAGTTCTAGTGATTATGGGGCCGGCCTGTGGCTCACTTGGGAGAGTGTGGTGCTGATAACACCAAGGCCACGGGTTCGGATCACATATAGGGATGGCCGGTTAGCTCACTGGGTGAGCGTGGTGCTGACAACACCAAGTCAAGGGTTAAGATCCCCTTACCGGTCATCTTTTAAAATAAATAAATAAATAAAGTTCTAGTGATTATGGGCTGTAGCTATAGAAATGTTTTATTACAAATTATAATTAATATACATTAATTCTGTCTTACAAATGAAGTAAATTTGATAACATTCTACGATTATAGTACTAGAAATAATTCAGATAAACATTTATTTCTCTTTCATTTTCCTTCCAAGTTTTGAAACCCAAATTACATCACAGCTATCCATCTACCTACCTATGTCTGCATACACACACACATATATATCTTCCACTCTAAAAAAATAACACTTTACTGAAATTATTACTAGTCTTCAGAAAAGACCGTGGGAAGACTGCTCCTCTTGCTGGCACCAAGAAGTTGCTGGAGAACTATTTTTGGTGTTTAGGCAAGTACCCGTCAACATGTAGCCATCTGAACAGCCCCATTCCTCTGCTTCACCTGGGAGCTGGTTAGGACAAATTCATGAGCTCCACCCCAAAACCAGTAAATCAGAATTTCTGTGGTGGCTCAAAGTCTGTGATTTAACAAGCTCTCTGGATGGTTCTTACGCACATTTAAGTTAGAGATGCACTGCTGTAATAAATGGATAAGTCTCTGAAGAAAGAGACTCATATTCAAGATTTTAAAACCCAGCGCAGGTATCCGTGTAACTTTCTGTGTGTATAGCAGATGCTCCTGAAAGTTTCTGTTTAAGTGAGAGCTATGGGTTACAGAAAAGAAGTAATGAGGGAAAAAAAGGCAACTCTGACTCCTTGAGGAGTCAGAACTCCTGAAACACGAAATGAAATGATTCAAATGATTCAAATGCAACGTAGTCACTGTACTGCAGATTTGTCCTAGCAGGGTCCCATCTGTAGAGGTTTCAACAAAGACTTGAGTGTTTTCACTCTCACACCTTCCATCCAGATCCAGTCTGTGGACAGAAAACACCTGTGGCTGGAGAAGAGCCACTAGCAAAGGGGGTTTCACATTTACAAAATGGTGCCACATCTGTCTTCATAGAAACCTCTAAAGGTTATCGGCCTCTGCCACTATCACTGTCGAGCCACACACTGGTTCTCTTTATCTCTTTAGAAGATAAAGTGGTTCTTATTATCTCTGTAGAAGAGAAGCAAGGGGCTCACAGTGGTGAACTGCTTTGTCAAAGTCCTGTATCAAGGGCCGGCCCGGTGGCGCACTGCTACAGTGCGCCGCTTGGGAGCGTGGTGATGCTCCCGCCGAGGGTTCGGATCCCACATACAGACCGGTTCCCGCTCACTGGCTGAGCGAGGGGTGGGCGCAACACCGGGGGTTGCGATCCCTCCTTGCCGGTCCGGCCCGGTACGGGTGCGACACTGAGGGTTGTGATCCGTTGCTGGACACGAACAAAAAAAAAAAAAAGGAAAACTATCTGTGTATATACCAGTACGAATCTGGCCATTACATCTTAGGCACAAGTGGTGACAATCTGCTTTGTACCTCATGAATATTGATAACCAATTAAAAATAAATAAATAAATAAATAACAGTGCTCAAAAAAGACAAAAAAAAAAAAAAAAGTCCTGTATCAAGTAAATGGTGAAGATGGGCCTAGAATCCAGGACTCCTTTCCTTCCACCTATTTCCATCTCTCCTGTTTCCCATGTCCTTGTGGATTTGGGGGTAGAACCTTTTTTAGAATTGATCCCCTTTTGCATTTGAAATCCATTGAATGGCGAAGCAACTCTTACTCCGTGGCCACCTCTCAAAGTAAAGCAAAAGTTAGCATCTCCCCAGTCGCTGCTTCCTTTTCCCATGTGACCACTTCCTCATCTTGAAGGATAATCCCATGCCCTTGGACAGGGTATCCAAGGATTTTAGTTTTCTGCCCATTTTGACATTGTCTCTCCAAATGCCCACAGAGGACATTAAGTTCAAGATGCCTAGAGGAAAAAACACAAGGTAGAGGAATGTGAATTCAACTTCTACCTTAGTCATTTATCTGCCATGTAAGTTTGGACAAATTATTTAACCTTTTTTAACCTAAGTTATCTCTTCTGTAAAATGAGGATATCCCAGCCTACTTCTTACAGTTGCATGAGGTTTATAATATTTTTAACATACCTACCGCAGACCTGGCACACAGGAAGTGTCCAATAAATGTTAAATGTTAATTTCTCCCTTTCCTCTCATTTTTCATGCTTCTGTTATCTCTTTAAAAATCAAGAATAATCGGGCCGGCCCGGTGACGCACTGCTACAGTGCGCCGCTTGGGAGCGCGGCGGCGCTCCTGCCGAGGGTTCGGATCCCACATACAGACCGGTTCCCGCTCACTGGCTGAGTGAGGTGCGGGCGCAACACCGAGGGTTGCGATCCCGTTGCCGGTCCCGGTCCGGTACGGGCGCGACACTGAGG